AACTTGATCTTTCAAATTTTTGTGTATTATTTGTGCCAAAGTGCCAACCCAGCGGTCAAATTTGGGGTTGTGGTTTGGAAACCGCTAAAAACTGGCAGAAAGTATGGTTTCATCCCAAATACGGGGGGTTTCAGACCAGTATTTGAGTTGAATCTGGTGTTTAATCCAGTTTTGTCAGTTTCTGACCTGGGGATCCCAAAATTTTGATTTTTGAAATTTCAAGTTGTCACTTTGACACATGTCGCATTCCGTAGGTACCAACTGAGCATGAAACTTTTTGATAAGTTAACAAGAAATAAAGATAGATGAATTTCAATCAAACATACAAAGTGAAATTGATAGTTTTTAGAACATGAAATACAACATATCACCCTTCAGCCTGCTCTGCAAGCTCCTCTTCTTCTTCTGCTTCAGCTTTCTCTTCATCTTTTTCTTCTTTACTATTCTGCTCTTCATCTGTCGTTTTCACCACTGTGTAAAAGCCAGCAGCAATGTCATCAAGCCACATTTGATGTGTCTTAGCAGACATTTTTTCAAAGGGTGTTTCCAGTATTTCATCAGTCATTCTAGATGCAGCATCTCATATGCATTGGAGCTTAATATTCCCCTTGAAGGTTTGACTTTTCAGGGTAACTTGAGGGGAAGCGTTCTTGGGGTGGCAGTCAAAGCGGCCAAATGGAGCCTTGAGGTGATACCCTGATAGAATGTGGTTGACAACAAGAGCGTGAGTTCTGCTCTTGATGAGATACAACAGATCATGAGGGGGAGGATGAACAGGTATCATACGACTTACAAACTATCTGATTCAACTGGGCTGTTAACTTACATTTGAGGAGGTCGCTGGCCTGAGGTTTCTTGGTTTTGATTGGCTTTGTTTTCAGATCTGACTGGGCCACATGTCGAACAAAGTGTTCAAGTAGTGTCCACTTTGTATCTGCAAGTGTGGTCCAATCATCAGACAAGGACACTTGCATTTCCCATTGACCTTTCGGGTTCTGGGTGTGGGGGCTCCACGAGGATGCCATGAGGGCATAGTCAACTCCACATCGTATATGTACTGTCTGGAGCTGATTAGTGCCATTGTTTGTCAGCAATGATTAACTGTGAAGATCAAAGACAAATAATACCTCATTTTTGATCCTTTGAATTTCATTGATGCCCTTGTTTTGCTTAGCCGTAGGAAGGTGTGGGCCAAATTTGTCTTGTCCTAGATCACATGCTACCATTGCCACGTCAACTAATTGCTTGAAAATTGGTAAGTACATGTCTTCTTCTTCAGCAGTGAAAGGAGTGATGTTAGGTTCAATAGCTGATGGTTTATCCCATCCACATGCCAAGTGACCAAGAGAGAAGAACAGCCTCTCATTGAATATGTCTTTCTCTTCAGGTTCAAAATGGGACCAAGTATAGCCTAGGTGTTGGTTCCGTTCTTTAAAGCCTTCCTGGGTGTTCCTCGGTGGCACTATGATGGAGTAGAAAGTAAGCCAGGTGTTTGAATACAAAAGATTACAATTACTAACTGGTTGTCTTGGCACTTTCAATACTGTACTTGAGAAAAGATTGATAAAAGCTGCGCTTTGTTCGAATGCTGACCTCATGTCTTTTTGATGTATGTAGATGTAGAGTTATTGAAGATATCGATTGAGACTGCAACACTAGAGGGTGTGTTAATGACAGAAATTTGGTCACCGTACGTTCACTGCAATGAGCAACCAATGCAAGTAGCTTCTTGGCACGTCAATACATCATTTGTATGTTTTTCAGCTCCTTTTGGACATCGGGGGGGATGCGGTTTTGGGTTTTACGGCCAGATGCTGATATGAGGTTGTTGATTGCCCCCATATCCAAAGTGATATCATTGTAGTTTTTAAGTGTAATTTGGATACAAGTGGACTGAGGATTAGGAGTCGTGGTGCTGGTTTGTCTGTTAGGTGCCGGTATGTGTGAGTCGTCAAGGAGGTCCTTGTTGTCCTCTCCGTATTTGTCCAAGTTGACATTGATATCAAAGTCTTCTGAGCTGGATTCATCGGATGAAGATGGTTGGGGTTTGGGGCGTTTCTTAGCAGTGACCTTTCTTGCAGTGACTGTTGTGGCAGTCTTGCGGCGAGGTCGGTTGGCTGATGTCAATGTGGTGGTTTTGCTTTTTGGTGGCATAAGGAGTAGTGGTTAGACGAGTAACGTGAGAGTGGTGCGGTAGCAAGAGGGGGAGTGGAAAGGCCTGCAAAACAATCAGAAGGCCTAGGAATGTAATCAGGTATGTATGTATATGTAAGTAATGATGACTTCTATGTAAAAGGCTGTGAAGAGTTCGGGTTATTTGAGTTGAGTAAGGGGGATTCAGTCCAAATGTGGTTGAATCAAGGATGGGTGTAGGACCGAGTGAAGGGTTGGCGATAATGGTGTGAGGATGCTATTGATCCGCTGAAGAGTGTGTGCACAGGTGTATGGATGTCAGGGTAGTGTTGTGTTAGGTGGCAAGAGTGTGACGATGCAATTGATGTGTTAAAGTTGTGAATTTTTGATTGGAAATCATGTGAAAAGGGTGAGGTTATGAGGGGGTTGGAAGGTAGGTGGCGTGAAAAAGAAGTGGCACACAAGTCACATACCCTGTGTTCGAAAGGAGTGGGAATTTTTTGGAAAGGTGTGTGTAAGTATGTTCATGCCACCAAAGGTGGTGTGCATGTGCGTAGGTGTTGGAGTGCAATTACATGTGGGACTTGTGTCTGGGGGCCAACAAAAGATGCATCTTATGCCTCTTAGATGCTTCTGCAGGCCATTGTGGGAGCCACTGCAAGGATACACATGTAAGTATCCTCGGGTTGAGTCCAAGTTCTCGAGGGTCACGAGGTGGAAAGAAACGTTTTGCTCAATGCATATGTTGCTCGTCAAAACAAAGCGGCTGCTATCAGTATACTCACATCTCTGAGCAATTTTGTCTTGAAATTGAATCTAAAGGGCTTCTTTCGGATCCTTTTGGTATTTGGAAGTATCTTAAGGATCAATCTCAATCTACTAGCGCCAAATTTCAAGCAGGAGGTTCTTCTTTAGCAATTCCGGCTGAAAATCAGCCTGTTGAGAAGCCGACTGCCAGCTTAGAGTTGAAGGATGCGATTCGGCAACAGCGTGACTATGATTTGAGTAAGAGAGCTTCACATTCAACACTCCCAGAAGGTCAAGCTGAGTTTGAACGCTACGTGGAGTTTTGTGACCTCATGGGCGAATTGGTGGAGACAACTTTGCTCCAGTCAAACAATACTCTGGCAGATTATCTGTCTTTTAAGTGTTCAAAGCCTGAAACTCAACCGTTGTGGAAAGCAGTTTTTCTGAAAGGCTATTTCAAGGCCCTTTTATAGCTTATCTTTTAGTTTTAGTTTTTATCTGGGACACTCTCAGCTCAGCATATCTTTTCCAAAAGTCGCATTTTTTGGGTTGTTTTTTTTCATTACATCATCCTCAGCCAAACTAAGCCCTGACAACATCTAGACTAAACGAGGGGGGGGCAGCAAGACTAAACTAAAACAAAAAAGAGAAACAGGGGCTGGCTGAGCCTTTAGCACCAGAAATCGATCAACTGGGTCGGTTTAAACTAAAAGAGGATCAGATAAAAACAAAAGGAGAAACTGGTAGTCAGCAAAGGAGGAGTTCCAGAAGAGAAAACAAAGGAAAGGCTTACCTAAATCGGTCAAAATCGAAAATCGATTTCGATTTTGAAGCCAAGGCATGGAAATGGTAGTGAGGGCTGTGGGTGTTGTAGGGTTAGAAAGAAGAATAAGACAAACAAGGAAAGGACTAACCTGAATCGGGCAAAATCGATAAATCGATTTTGATTTTGAAGTCAGGGTGATGAAGAAGGTGAAGAGAGTGGGGGATGGTGACGAGTGGGCTGGACTGAGTGCGAAAAGCCACGATCCGTTTCGGAAACGATTGTTTCCGATTGGAACCGCCGGAATCGAATAAAGCATCTTCTATCAAAAAAACAAAGGAAGAATCATTCAATCAGTAATTGGAATAGGTGAGAAGATGATCATGAGAAAGGCAAACCATACTTACATAGGTTTGATTAGGTCTTGAGTTGTTGGAACTATAAGGAGGCAAGATCGAGTTGTGTGCGAGTTTTGTGTGTGATAGAGTGTTATTGTATCGAAGTGTTGTTGTTTTTTCTCTTTGTTATCGAATTGAAGCAAAGCGTCGCTTATTAGGAGAGTTGCCGCCTTTTATCGTTATTGAGTTATCTTCTAGAGTAGGAAGTAGAAGATAGAGAGTTTTTTTTTAATTCATTGCATCCTTAAGAGTTCTTAAAAGGAAAGGACTTACCTTTATTCTAAGGGTGGGTTGCTGTTATTAGAAGTGTTATTGGTGAATTCAAAACCCTTATAACATAACTCCTTAGGGGTTTTGTCCTAAGGTAGTAAGGGGTATTTGGGCAATTACAAGTGTAATTGGCTGGGTTTTGAAGCCACTAGGGTGTGTAGGGTAGATTTAGGATCAGTAGAAGTTGAAGAACAAGGTTTAGGAGGAAAATCAAGGTTTTTTTTATTTTTTTTACTTGCTGCGGGAAGGTTTTTTGAAGAACTGCATTGGGGAACGTAGTAAAAAACAGCTTGTTTACATCTGTTTTTGAACCGTAGGACCTTTACAGGGATTCTTAAAGCTGAACTAAAGCTTGTAGATTGGTTAATCAAGGTTGGAAGCTTATTTTGGTGGTAGAAAGGTTGTAGAGAAGTGTCTCACTGTATTTTGAGGGCAGCTTAGCGGCGTTTTGGTTACGGCTCTGGGCGGTTTACCCGACTTGAGTTGTTTCTTCCCCTTGAGGCTCTGCCTACGCTCCGCAGCGTAGGAGTTCTACACCGTCCAGCGCCGCAGGCGCCATACAAATAATGATCCAATTCTGTGGCATCTCACATCCAACTCTCAAGGAAGCGCACAAATCCGACCTTTTCAAGGGTGTCCTAGCTGGTTGCCAAGATCAATTCTCAATCCCACAAGACCAAGCTCAGCCAATGACCATCAAGGATATGGACAAAGTGGCCAAAAAGATAGTCACTCATGACGACCTCTTATTTGTGATGATGCTCTCAGTGGCTTTTGCTGGTTTGCACAGGACAGCAGAAATTACTGTAGACCATTCAATGGTGGGAAGAAACCTTGCAAATACTATTTGTTGTGGCTCTGTTAACTTCTCTGACTGTGAAGAATTTGTGAAGTATCTTTTACCACATCAAAAAAATGATCAAGCACGTGAAGGTTCTGAAGTTCTGATTCAAGCAAGGCAAGGGTCTCCTTCAGACCCTGTAGCTCTCATTCTTCGAAACAACAAATCTCGTGGTAACTCAATGGATCCCTCCTGGCTACTACAATTATGGTGGAAAGTATCCCACATGTGGTTGGTGGGCGGATCAATTGGTTGTGCATTTTGGTACTACTCGAACGGGGCATTCATGTAGAGTTGGTGGGGCTCCCCACCTTTGCCCTTCAGGTGTCAGCAGGGAAGACCTCAAGGTCATGGGTCATTGGCATAATCATGAATCTTGTGATATCTATGCTTGCAAAAATCCAATCTTGGTAATGGCGCATATAGATGCCCAAAAAAGGGGTATCAATGTTGGAACGGTTGGCTGGCACCATTGAGATTCTTTTATTTGTTGGTGAGTTGTTATTAACTGGTTGGATGTATGAAATTAAACTCAAGCCACCACCCTTTTATACACATTCAGAAAGCTGTCTTTAATGTTTCACTGTTCTTTCTCATTTTTGTATGGAAGATATCAATTTGTAATTTGACACAGTCTCATATTTGATGTACTTCAGAGTCTCAAGTTGACTTCACTGAATGAAGACTGGTGAAGGAATTGCATCAATGAAAATATTAAGGTCCCACAAAGGCGCTCATCATATCAATTTCTTCAGGCCGTCGTACCTCTTGCCCCACCAGCCTGGGATCCCTTTACTGTCTTTCAAATTGGTAACTCGTCCACATGATATCTGATATTAACAATCCTGGTTTTTGATTCACATTCTTTTAGGCTCAACAATACCAGCCTATAAAGAGTATGCTAAGAATTTATCAATTGAAGATAAAGTGATTGCGATGATTGGTCCAGTTGTTCACTAGACCAATCATCTCACTTACCTCACTCATAATCACATACATCACTCTAGAAAACTTTATGGGCTAAGATTGGTTATGAAGGATCAGCTTTTTCTGGTATGAAAGTTGAAATTTCTAAAGAATTATTTTGTGTGAATTTTGTTACATAGGTTTGAAAGACAGACCCTTTGTAATAAAATCTTGAGTCTGAGACAAGACGTAGGTTTTACATAAGTCTTTGTCTGATCATTTTTGATTCATCTTTCCTGATCAACTTTTTGATACATCTTATCATGATTTGTTTGATTTTGGATTCAGAATCAAAGGGTTCATCATGAAAAAGATGTATATTCCTTGTGCTTAAAATCGGTTCTGAGTGGATAGCAAATTCTCATCAGATAACTACAATTCAATATGATTGAAAATAAAAAAATTCAAGGATTTTGATTAATTCAAATTGAGCTCACTTGTATACCCAAGCTGTCTGAGAATAGCGCTCAGCCTAGAGCTCCAAAAGTGTTATCATAAACTCAAACAAAATGGAATAAAAAAGGTGGAGGGAGTTTAAGGGACTTGTGAATACTTTTAATTTGGTTCTGATTCAATTAAACTTGTTCTCTTTGAAGATTGTAACACTACACAAAATATAATATTTTCTGGGCAGAAAATTAAATTATTGATACACAAAAATATTGAGAGGCCAGGAGAAGGGCAAAAAATAAATAAAAATATGCATCTTGTTCCCTGCGGTGAGAGCTTCACTCTCCATATTTTTCCATATTTTTACAGTCCGTATTGATAAGTGTACTAACAATAAACCTTCATAATCATCCAATTACAACCTGTAACAAGCACTGAAATTTGGCTCATTAGTGTTTAGAGAAACTTTTGATTTCTGAAAACACCTATAACTTTGTCAAATCTGCCTCAAAACACTCGATTTTAAGTGCATTAGCAAGCTGAACTCTTCCTCTCAAACTTTCATAAGGTCAAGAACTATGTAGCTAGTATGACAATCATTCTATGGATCTGTATGTACAAATGTACCAAAAAGATTATATCTTTTTT